ATTGATGAAGCACTTACACATTCAACAGACAACTACTTGAGAATATTTTAGCTCTATAAGGAACATTATGTTTTATGTTAAAACTATAAGCTTGAAAGGAGATGGGGATATACACAACCAATCATTCCACTTACTGAAACAAAGCCAGCACTCCACACACCACCACTAAGATTTATAGAAAGAGGGCAGCTCTGGCCACGCTTTAAGCCAAAACACCAGCCTGAGGATGGCGAGTGAGACCTCGCCGAAATGTTAGCAAGACAATCTCAATCTTACACGGGAAAAGATCCGAATACAACGAGACCAGCATGCATGGATTACACACACACACACACACACACACACACACACACACACACACACACACATCTTGGTGGGGTGTGTGTGTGGAGTGCTGGCTTTGTTTCAGTAAGTGGAATGATTGGTTGTGTATATCCCCATCTCCTTTCAAGCTTATAGTTTTAACATAAAACATAATGTTCCTTATAGAGCTAAAATATTCTCAAGTAGTTGTCTGTTGAATGTGTAAGTGCTTCATCAATTATGTAAGTCCATCTATTAAAATCCAGAAGAAAAGATGATCCTATGTTCTGACTGGAAAGGCTATTATATTCAGTTGTGTGCAGTAATCACCCCGTTAGCATGGTGTATCAATTTCTAGTGGCTTAGGAGTAGAAAGGATGAGTTACTCTTCATTCACTGTTATGCACGTATAAAATAATTTTACCCTTTCTTATGAGATAAGAAAATAAAGTAGGGAGGCTTTGAGAATTAGTACAAGGATTCAAGCTGAAAGATTCAGTATGGAAATATGAGTATAGGCAATTTGTTTAAATTTTGAGAACAAATTTTCCAAATCAATTTGATAGTTTGCTTCAAAAATGTCTTAATTTGTGTACTCCATTTTTGAAATAGTACTGAAGATGCTCCTGCCTCTTTTCCTTTTTTTTTCAATTTGAAGGAGGGGGGGGAAGGGAGTAGTATGGATGACAGCTGCTGTTACATATGAAAAAAAGTTTGATCAGAGGACATATCTATAAAAATGTGGAAATTGACAGAATATCTGCTTCAAAGCCAGATGGGAATATTTGAATGTTTGGACAAGAACTGCTTACTTTACTTACTGTCTACCAGTGATGGTGATATTGAAAATAACCATGGCAAATCATTTTGTCTTTATGATGGCTTTCTTGAAACAGCTGAATGGAGATGCAAACAGCTGCACCATAGCAGATTCCATAGTGTTGTTGGTAATTTATGAATTTAGCCTGAATAGAAAATTAAGCACCATTCCAGTTCAGCTGCCTTAATGTCTCTGCACATGAGAGAAAATTAGTTGTCCTGAGGGACTGTCTAGAAACTTTGCAAAATCTAGTGTTCCACTAAAATATAAACAATGAGTATTGCTAAATTTCTCAAGAGTTCTAGAATGCTCTTGGCTCCAGAAAAATAGTATGTGAAAGAACTGATCTATTTCCAGTATATGAAACTGATATGCTATCAAAAGCTAATACTCAGTTATGACCAAAGTTTTCTTGTAAAAGGCTTAAATTATTATCCATTTTAGTATGCTACAGTAGTTTAGATTGAGTTAAATTCATTGAGTCTGTATGTCACCTAATACCCATGACTCTGGATCTAAATGCAACTATCCTGCCATTCTTGCTAAAATATTCCATAGTCATCACTGCCACAACAATAATGTGATAATGCATTCCTAAAGTAGACTTTATTTCTAGCTCCAAATTGTTTGCATCCCAATTTAGGAGGTAGGAATACCTGCTATTTTTATGAAATCTGAGAATTGATGGGAATGCTAATGAAATTAATTTAGAATTTACATGTCTAATTTGGATATTAAGAGGAGATTATTAGTTAAATAGTGTAGCTTATGGTGGGAGTTTGGCAATTTGGACATACACTATATTGCCAAAAGTATTCACTCACTCATCCATATAATCAGAATCAGTTGTGAGCGAATACTTTTGGCAATATAGTGTAGCTATAGCAACATGTTTTTAAGGGATCATCAATGGCATATCTTATTGCTGTGCCATTATAGCACTAGAAAACCTCTACTGAGTTAGTAGAGGCAATATTTGTAGTTAAAGGCAATGTTTGTGTGTGTGTATCAGAATGGTTCCGGTAGAGACTACTGCCAGTATGCTCAGGACACGCAGCATGTGGAGAAGCAAAAAACAGCATGGGGGCACCTGTGGCACCACCAGGAGAACCAGTTCCAGCGACACAGGCCACCAAGCTACTACCAGTTTGGCCAAACCCACCATTGGTGTGTACACACACACACACACACACACACACAAACACACACAGAGAGAGATATATGATACTTTGCATGATGTAATACCATTGCTAAATGGAATACCTATATTTTCTGGAGTGAGTTGCAGGATGGTCCAGTGCTAGTATTCTCACGTCCAGTTGGCCTCGAGACTGGATTGAACCTGAAGCCACGCCTCTGTGCTCCTCCTTCTGACTCCAGTTTCAATCCAGTATGGCCTGAGACGAGAGACATTTATTTGAGCTCCTAAAATATATATTTCTTTCCTGGACCCTCCTCACCTCACCTCTGCCTCCATTTAGTGGTAAGTATCCCTAGCGGTGGCTGTGGTTCCCAACCCCCTGGGAGTTGCTTTTGGGAGCCTGGGAACTCCGGAGGCTCGAATGCCATTTCGGCGGCCATTTGAGCCGGCGGCCACATGGTGGCTTTTTGAATTAGATCACATCGTTTTGGAGCCTCTTGGGCTTGGGATTTCCAGCCCGACAGTCACACACCAGAAGACAGAAAACATGGGCTGCCAATCGCCCTTCACGTGCCTCTGAGAGAGACAAACTAAGGAAGCATAAGGCTTTAACCAAAACCTTCTCCAGGGCAGAGAGAATGCGGGCCTGGCAGGGCACATTGAGCTCTTCCCCATCAAGGTCCAGATCCCCATTGGGGGTGCATATAGAGGCCCTTCGCCGGGTTCCCAGATTCATTGGGTGAGAAGTTTGGGAAGCTACCCCTTTTCCACCCCTCTCTATGGAGGACCAGTGCTCTGATCTTGAAGATCCTAGCCCATTTGGGGCCCAGTCTGAGGGAGATACCATTAATAGACCCATTTTGGCCCCTCAAGCCGGCCTGGAACAGGGTAGGCCTAGCTGGGATAATTTGGATGTAGATGACCTACCTGTAGGCCTCCAAAATCCCATAGAGAGGGCCATATCGAGTGGCATCACTATAGGCCTGCAGCGACATGTCCCTAGACCTTTCTCGCAGGAGGGGGGTATGAATCCTCAAGGTCGTCCACCTATTTCTCCCTCCCTCACCAGTGAGGGATCAATTCTGGGGAACAGGGTCCAGAGAGACCCAGATCTGTCTGATGTTGAAGACACCCCTGTCCCAGATCCCCCTGCTTTTATGGGTTTATTCCCTCCAAATTTATTCNTCCAATCAAACGTCCAAGTAAAATATCCTAGGAGAATGGAAATTATAAACATGACATACATTACATGACAAATGAAAACAGGCTATGTTGTATCCTTTAAAAAAGAGAATTATTTAGCCACAGGCATTTACTTACTTTTTTAAAGTTTCAACCTGGACCTCTAACTTGATTTTTTCCTCTATTATGATCTTGTGATGACTTTTCCAGATATTAGGAGCCGAAAATGCCTCCGACAACTGGATTTCCTGGAGATAATACAAAATTTAGACTCTGTATTTACAAGGACCCCACTTTCAAATTCCATAAGCTCAGGAGAATTTTTTCTTCAAAGCAGTTTTTGAAGGTATGGCAGTAGAACACAGAGTAACATTTGAAACCTCACCATAAATACATCAGTTAAAAAGTAAAAACAAAAAAAACCAAGCCTGTAAAACACTTCAAAGTGTAAACTGTAAAATAACCTAACAATATCACAGTGGAATTTTCCAAAACACTAGGAATGTTTTTCCTCAATGAACAATATTAATGTTTTGTTCAGAAACATTTTTTAAGAAAAGACAAAGAAATGACCACAACCTTTAATTGTTATCCCTGGTAAATTCTTCTTCATTATCCACCAAAGGTTTATCGGCAAGAATAAGAGACGGTTGCTCAGAAACATTTCTGTTTTAACTGCCCGGAATGCCTGATTGGCAAATGCTAATGAGATTGCTATCAACAAACCCAATGAGATCCTTATTGGAATTATACGCTTTTTTTAAAAAAACGACTGGAACCTGGAAAGCATTTTGCAGTAGAACTGCACTTCACCAGTTGCCACAGGTAACTGAAAGTTCTGTTTAGAGGAACAAATATGCTGAACGAGAAACAATGATTGATTCCCCTCATTCTCCTTGTTTAGAATCAAATTGAGCAGATTATTGGAAAAATCCTCCTCTCTGAGCAAAGGGCAGAAATCCAGGGATTGCTAGTAGGACAAAGCTCCTAGATCCTTATCTTCCAGGCTAGAAATCTTTGTATGCTTATTTACAAGTCTGCAGTAGAATACTGCTTACAACAAACACTCACAAACACACCTGTTCCAGTTAAGGGAAGCTTATTGTTAAACACACAAACACACACACACAAACACACACACACAGAGAGACACTACAGCTACAATATTTATCTAGCACTGATGATGTTGCCTAGTTTGGTAAAACAACCAAGTTCAGAGAGCACCAAGGACCCCTCATTTCAACGCTGAACTACAAATATTCTCCTTTTGTCTGTGCCACAGCATTCAACTGGATGGCTTCATAACCGCTGCACAACTTTCAACTAGGTCAGCTAAATCAAAAACAAAGCAACTTTCCCAAGCCGTAGATGAAAGAAACAAACACAAGTACTTTGAATCTTGTACCGCTATAACACCTTTTTGCTATTCATTAAACAAGGCTTCTTTCAGTGCCTGAAAAAGGTGCAATTAATACAGGGGTGGGTTCCGGCAGCCACTACTGCCGGTTTGCTTGT